AGATTATTTTGTGTAGAAGACAGTCTTAATTACCCAGTGCTGCTGTAACACAAACACCACAAATGGGTGACTTTAAAGAAGTCTATTTGCTCACAGTTCTGGAGGCTGACAGTCCAAATCAGAGTCTCAGCCATGTTGACTCTTTCACTGTCGGTAGCCCTGGGCATTCCTTAGTCCCTTTGCTTATAGACAATATCCTCACATGGCATCTGTCTTCTCACATGTATCTTTGTGTCTATTCTGGTCTTTCTGTAACTCAGAAGTGACCAGGTTTAGGATCCACCCTACACTGGCATGGCCTCATTAACATAGCAAAAAGAAAACTCTATTTCCAAACAGGATCATATCCACAGGTAAGGGCCAGGAATTCACCACATATTTTGGGGGGACCCAATTCAATGCATACCAGTCTACACTTTAAAAAAAAATAAAAACAAAAACCAAATCAGTTGTTATCCAGTTGATTCCAACTCACAGTGACCCCATGTGTATTAGAGTAGAACTGTACTCCATACAGTTTTCGATGGCTGGTTTTTTGGAAATAGATCATCAGGTCTTTCTTCCAAGGAGCCTCTGGGTGGGTTTGAACCCTCAACCTCTTGGTTAGTAGCCGACTACTTAGCCGTTTGCGCCACCCAGGAAATCTACAAAAACCTGTTGCCATCGAGCTGATTCTGACTCATAGCAACCCTATGTACAACACAACAAAACACTGCCCCGCTTTACATCATGCTCACAATCGTTGCTATGTTTGAGTTTACTGTTGTAGTCACTATGTTAATCCATCTCATTGAGGGTCTTCCTCTTTCTCAGTGACCCTCTACTTTACCAAGCATGATGTCCTTCTCCAGGGACTGGTCCCTCCTAAGTACGTGAGATGTAGTCTCGTCATCTTCCCTTCTAAGAAGCCTTCTGGATGTACTTCTTCCAAGACAGACTTGTTCGTTCTTCTGGCAGTCCACGGTATAGTCAATATTCTTCGCCAACACCATAATTCAAAAGCATCAATTCTTCTTTGGTCTTCCTTATTCATTGTCCAGCTTTCATACGCACATGAGGTGACTGAAAATACCACGGCTTGGGTAGGCGCACTTTAGTCCCTCAGAGTGACATCTTTGCTTTTTAACACTTTAAAGAGGTCTTTTACAGCAGATATGCCCAATGCAATACGTCGTTTCATTTCTTGACTGCTGCTTCCATGGGCACTGATTGTGGATCCAAGTAAAATGAAATCCTTGACAACTTCAATCTTTTCTCTGTTAATCATGATGTTGCTTATTGGTCCAATTGTGAGGGTTTTTGTTTTCTTTATGTTGAGGTGTAATCCATACTGAAGTCTGCAGTCTTTGATCTTCATCAGTATTTGCTTCAAGTCCTCTTTGCTTTCAGCAAGCAAGGTGTGTCATCTGCATTACTGCACGTGATATGCATATCATATCTGCACATCAGCATCAATAGTAAGTCCAAAATCTCATCCTCTGAGTCATCTAAATCACATATGGGTGAACTCTGGGTGTGTTCCATCCTGGGACAAAATGCCTCTCCATCTGTGGACCTATGAAACCTAGAGTACAAGTTATCTGCTTCCAAAGTACAATGGCAGAACATGCACAAGACAGACATTCTCATTACAAATGGGAGAAACTGGAGGGAAGGAGGGCCACAGGTACCAACAAGTCTAAAACCCAGCAGGGTAAATATCATTAGCTCTCAAGGCTTGAAAGTAATCCCTTGTTTTCTAGACACATCTGGACAATGGACCCAACTTTGGCCTCTGGGCATTGGCCACATTCTCTGGATTATGGGCAGAGGCTCCTCAGACCTGGGTGTCACCCACTTTCCAGACTCACTACGCCAGCGACCCCACATCCTTGGCCCTGGGTAGCCCCATTCTCCTGTCCCACCAGCACAGTAGCCCACCCACTCAGCTTTGGACAGCAGGCCTTTTCTTGGCCCACCTAAACAGCAGTCACTCCCTCCAGAATGGTGGTGGTGGTAACCCCACTCTTTGAAACCTAGAAGGTAGCCCCTCCCTTTGAAACCTAGGGGGCAGTAACTCCACCTTTTGAAACTCAAGAAGCAGCAACCCTGCATCTCATGCTCCTTCCGAAAGTTCTACTGATCTCTAAACTGCTCCCAGGATAGGGTCTTCCTTTCCTTGAAGGACAACAGATGTTTGCAACCAAGTTGCTCCACTGGTCCATTTCCTGCCTGTCAAATTCCAGGAGGAAGACAGTTTTCCTTCATTTCATCCTATCTCTGTCCCTTGTAGTGTAGACTGAGAAGATTTCTGCTGCAGTGGTTGATTAGATCCATCAGTCACAGGGTTAATCTCTTTAGCAGTGTGTATTTATGTCCTTGGTGTCCTTACAATGACACACTCTCTAAATTTTTACAATAGAATTTTCCAAATCTTTAAATTTTGGTTTCTTTTTGCACAATTTATTCCTAAATCAATCTCCTTCCTTCTACAGTTTACTGTAAGTGGCAAGGAGAAACCACATTGCGTCTTCAAGATTTTGCTTAGAAATATCCTCAGCTAAATATTCAAGTTCATTATTTACAAGCTCTACCTTCCATAAAATATTTGAATTCAGACAAGTTCTTCCCCACTTTATAACAAGGATCACCTTTCTTCCAGCATACAATAACATGTTCATTTCCTTTAAAAGCTTCACATTCTATGTCCACATTTCTAGCAACATTCTGTTCATGATAGAAGCTTTTTCCCTAGCTCTCAATTCTTTCTGAGCCCACATCATAACTGCCAACATCAGAACTGTCCATAATTCTACCAATAGTCTCTTCAAGGCAATACAGGCCTTACTATCAAGCACATCAAAATCCTTCCAGCCTCTACCCATTACTCAATTCCAAAATCACTTCCACATTTTAGGCATTTTTTAAGAGCAGCAACCCCATTCTGAGTACCAAATTCTGTCTTAGTTACCTAGTGCTGCTGTAATACAAGCACCACAAGTGAGTGGCTTTAAGAAACAAATTCATTTTCTCACAGTTCTGGAGACTGAAAGTCCAAGTCAGGGTCTCAGCCTGGTTGATTCCTTCCTTGTCAAAAGCCCTGGGCATTCTTTGGTTCCTTGACTTACAGACGATCCTCACATGGTATATGTGTTCCTCCCTGCATGTGTGTCTCTGTGTCTAATCTGGTCTTTTTATAACTCAAAAGTGATTAGGTTTAGGATCCACCCTACACTGGTACGTCTTCTTGAACATAGCAAAAGAAAAACCCTATTTCCAAACAGGATCACATCTACAGGTACCAAAACCAAAAACCACACCCACTACAGTTAGTCGATTCCGACTCATAGTGACAGAGTAGAACTGTCCCACAGGGTTTCCAAGGAGCATCTGGTGGATTCGAACTGAAGGCCTTTTGGTTAGCAGCCAAACTCTTAACCACTACGCCACCAGGGTTTCCTCCACAAGTATAGGGGCCTGGAATTCAATACATATTTTGGGAGGACACAATTCAATCCAAAACAAAAGCCAAAAGGGTTGTTGATCACTAGTAAATCCTTGCTTTGATTTTTAAATCATGTGCTCATTAATCCTAAACTACAAAATTACTTTTAATTAAAGTACTTCCTCTCTTATGCAAATTCTTTTTTTAGTCTCTACTTTTCAAAGTAATGATACTGTTTGCTCAGTTATTCTACCCCTTCCAAACAAGCTTTTTAACCTTTTTAATTATCTAGATTTCTAATCTAATACCCTCAGCAACCTTTGCTAATCTTTCAGTGTCACTTAACTGAGGAATAATAATTCGAATCTAGATATCTTAACTTCTTGGTTCCTTTTTCTCATACACAACATTCCTAAAAAGTGCTACTTAAAGCAAAAAAAACAGGAAGATCTTACAATGGAAATCTCTCTTGCAAAGGTGTCTCTACCAGCATGTGTTCAAGAAAAGAAGAGAGTGAAGACCAAAAGGGCAATTATAATTATTTGTGAATAAATTTAAGCAATGTGCTGATCTGAATCACCAACATATATACTTGGGACTGAAGGATCTTTAAATTAAAAAAAAAAAGAGTTAAAAGAACCTCAGCTCACTTTTTTTATACAATTAAAGTACAGGAGAATCCCAAATACCTAAGGTAGATATCAATTTACTATTTCCTGACCAAGGATATTCACAGGGAGATACCAGGATTCCCTGGCACACACAGTCAACGAGTAGAAGCAAGACAAAGACTGAGGAAAGGAACATGCTCAAACTGGAGGCCCTTTCTCTTCTGGATCTCAAGAAAAGGTTCTAAGGCTATCTGCTGAGGAAAACCCATGGCTTTTATCTAACAAGCACATAACAAACCTACATAATCAAAATGTCTGGGAACTAAGCCTAGAAATTTGAATTTTAGCAAACATATAGGTTACTCTTAAACCCATTCAAATTTGAGTGGTTAGGTAGCCAAGATGCTTGTTTAATTAAATTCTGTCTGTTCTGACAAGGGACTTCACATGGTATACACTGCTTCAAGTAAAGTGTTCACTAAAGTAAAAAGAAAGAACTATTGTGCCCTTACAAAGATCATTTTGCCTCTAACAATGAAACTTACCAGTGTGTTCCAAAGACTGCAATTTCAAACCTGGAGGTGGGGAATGAGGGAGTAGAATAGGAGGTAAGAAGGGAAGACACGCAGAGAAAATATTTCTCTTGATTTTTTTTTCCCAGTCAAAATGGGAAAAGAAATTGCATAATATATTTGGAAAGACGAACATTTGTAAATTAATACAGTCGTTAGTACTAGTATCTATGCTGTAACTCAATTACAATGATCTACTTGTGTATCTCATTTAAGAACATGATTACGAAAAGCAAAGGTATTAAGTTTTGTCTAACGAAGTAAAGAAGGATTAGGGAGAAAAATACATAAATATCATGTTTTTATAACACTAGGATTGATTTTAAATAAAGTCTTTTAAAAAGCCACTCTCATGAACTAAGACTAAAAGAAGTATTTTTAAGGAAAGATTACCATTTGGTGCAGTGGGAGGTGACCAGATGCCATAGTATGTTGGCAAATATTTTCGTAGCTCTAAAAGAACACTGTCACTACAATCAGCAGCATAAACCTGAAACAAACGGAAATATAACAATTCCATGTTAGTTTCTTACAATGTTTTGTAACTGCCCCGCACATTTCTCAAATAAAACACAATACTGTTGAATCATAATTTATCTGGGTATAAGTTTCAACTGAAGTAAATCTGGAATAAGCAAAAAAGATTACCAGGTGCCTCCAATGAAAAACTATGTATTGTTTAGAGAACACCCTTCCTGCTTATCTGATTTTAGCCTTTCATTGTCCTTGAGCTATTTTACAACTCTGTAAATTGTAGATAATCAATAGGAGTGCAAAATAATTCCTGTCCATATACATCCAAATAAACTCTGGGCAGTAAGGGTTCAAATGCCTTCCCTTCATACCTCATGGCGGGAGGGGGGAAGTTTAGTATCTATTGTAAATTTATTTCAACCTTCTTTTATTCCATGTAAATTTGTACTTCTTTGACTTCTCTTCCAAACCAGTTTTAACATCTGCCTGGTTCCCTTATTAAATAATAAGTTAAATAAAATCTTTAATGTATATTCATTTTATATCTATAAGGAAGTCGTGATTTTACCTTTTTTACAAAAATTATCCTTTAACACAATTTAAGTCTAATTATTGCTTATTTAATTCCTTGACTTATAACCATTAATAATTCTGGAAGACACTAGGAATTTCTAGATATCCTGAAGCCAAATTCTAGCTTTTTTCCTAGAAGAGGAGAGAAAGAATATATACACTTTTAAAAACAATTTGTAAGACATTTTAGCCAATGAACTCTCCCCAAATATGGTCTACTTAAATATCCAAAAGTTTACTGGTGTAAAATGCTTATAAAAACTTATTATCAGAATTCTATTTATATATATCAAACCATATTCATGTCAAGTAGTTACATAAAACATAAATCTATAACCCCAATCAAAATCCCAGCAAGTTATTTTGTAGATTTCAACGAACTGATTCTAAAGTTTACATGGAAAGGCAAAAGACCCAGAATAGCCAAAAAAATACTGAAGAACAGAGCTGGAAAACTGACATTACCCGACTTCAAAACTTACTATAAAGTTACAGTGATAAAGTGTGGTATTGGTGAAGGAATAGACAGACAGATCAGCTGAACAGAATAGAAAGCCCAGAAAATACAGTCAATTGATCTTTGACAAAAGAGCAAAGGCAATTCAATGGAGAAAGGATTGTCTTTTCAACAAATTGTACAGGAACAACTGGACATCAACATGCAAACACACGAATCTAGACACACAGCTTACCTCTTTCATAAAAATTAACTCATAGACCTAAATGTAAGATGCAAAACTATACAACTTCTAGAAGATAACACAGGGGAAAATGTAGGTGACTGAGGTGTGGCGATTTTTTAGATACATCAAAAGTATAACAAATGTCTAAGAAAAAATTGGTAAGTTGGACTTCATTAAAATTAAGAACTTCTGCTCTAGGAACGACACTGTTAGAAGAATGAAAAGACAAGCCAGAGACTGGTAGAAAGTATCTGCCAAACAGGTATCAGATAAGAAAACAAACAACTCAATCACAAAATGGGCAAAAGGTCTGAGCAGAAGCCTCAACCTCACCAAGGAAGACACATAGATGGCAAATAAATATATGAATAAATGCTGTCTGTCTGTCTATCTCTCTTCAGTGTTATAGCTCTGTCTTCCACATCTAGGAGGTTCTCAGCGCAGGGACCCCAGGTCCAAAGGACGCACTCTGTTCCACTCTTCTTGATGGTAGTGAGGTGTCCCTGAACCTCTGTGGGACTGGCCCTTATAAATAAAACCTAAGAAAGCTGGAACCTGTGTAAGGCAGAAACCTGTCAGAGAAGGAAAACTCAAATATTTTCCACTAAAACAAACGGTAGAAAAGTGGTAAGACCGCACCCTGTCAAAGGCAGAAAATCTGCAAGACCCGGAAAAACAAGGCACTTCCATCGACTACTGGTTCTCACAGGTTTCACTGTATAAGGAAACTCTGTCAATTTCAAGGCATGGCCCTCCCAGCATGACCACAAAGAGACCAACTCCCTCGGTGAACTGCAAGTCAGTCAATCCTATTGGGTGGATTTTAAAACCACTAATTGCGTAATAATGGACCAATTCCTTGCAAGATTGTGGCCCAGCCAATCATTTTGTGGGAGTTATAAGATCACGGCTAGAAAGGCCATATAAAAGAAGCTGATTGCACTGCAAATACTCAACATCATACGTCACTCGGGAAATGCAAATAAAACCAACAAGGAACTGCTACTATATACCTATTGTAATTGTATGCTGTTGACTCGATTCCAACTCATAGAGACCCTGTATGACAGAGTAGAACTGCCCCACAGGGTTTCCTAGGCTGTAATCCTTATGGGAGCAGATCACCAGGTCTTTTTTCCCGCGAAGCCACTGGTGGGTTCGAACCACAGACCTTTCAGTTAGCAGCTGAGCACTTAACCACTGCACCACCAGGGCTCTTGTACACCTATTAGAATGGCTAAAATCCAAAACACTGACAACATCAAATGCTGGTGAGATGTACAGAAACCGGAACTCTCATTCATTGCTGGTGGAAATGCAAATAGTACAGCCACTTTGGAAGACAGTCTGGCAGTTCCTTACAAAGCTAAACACAGGCATACCATTTGATCCAGCAATAGCATGCCTACATATTTACCCAAATGAGATGAAAACATGTGTCCACATAAAAAGTTGTACAAAAATGTTTTATGACCTTCTGGAAAAGGCAAAACTAAAGAGACAATGAAAAGATCAATGGTTGCCAGAGATTTAGGGGGAGGGGGAATGGATGAATAGGTAGAAAACAGCATTTTTAGGGCAGTGAAACTATTCTGTATGATATTATAATGGTAGATACATGACATTAAGCATTTGTCAAAACCCACAGAACTGTACAACACAAAAGATGAATTCTAATGTAAACTATGGATGTTAATAATAATGTATCAATACTGATTCATCAATTGTAACAAACGTACCACAGGAATGCAAGATGTTAATAGGAAAAATGATTTGCAGGGGAGAGGGGATATGGGAACTCTGTGTACTTTCTGACAGTTTTTCTATAAATCTAAAATTGCTCTAAAAAATAAAATCTATTTTTAAAAAAATCTAATTCTACAGAACAAACTCAAGTGTGGCAGAGACTCACTAACTATCCATGTGCTACACTGTATTTCCCAGCATCCCCTGTTGAAATGTAAGCAGAAGTGATATTAGTCACTCACAGTCCAAGGTGGTTAGGAGCAGGGTGTACCTTATCCATTCCTCTGTTCAGTGACTGCGTGGACAGAGCGTTCAGGATGCCCTAACTACAAGATGGGGGATAGAAGTAAATCTCTATGTACTAACCTAAAGAAAACAAGTCCACGATATATTTCTAAGAGAAAAAGATAAAAGGCATATTACATGCCAAAAAGTATAGCACTTTCATGTAAATTAAATAAGAAATATATGTGTGCATATAAGCTCTGTAAAAGCATAGCAAAATTAAGAATATGGATTAAAAAACATTCATAGTTTAATTCTGGGTATGGAACTGGAATAGAGAATTAAACTTTTTCATCCTTTAAATATTCTTTAAAAGTAGTGGGACTGCTATTTACTGCAACATGCCAGAAAAAATAACCTAAAAACCCTCCTACCTAGAAATGTGGGATAAAATATTAAAAATATTTTCTTAAATGCATAGCTGAGCTCCCAAGGAAGCAAAGGGAAATGAACAGGGATCCAAAACAAAGAGGAAACAAAACTGTTAAACTGGAATAATGGCTTGGGTTTCACAAAGGTTCATTCTGTGAAGACTGAACCAAAGGATCTCTGAACTCAGGAACTAAGTGAAGCTGAGGGCAAAGTTGCTCTACAGAAACAGAGAAAGTAAATAAAAGTCTAAATACTGGACACTGAAAACCCTGGCATTTCCCCCCATCCAGTGGTGTCACTAGGGCTGGTGTCACCCAGTGCAGTAATTCAAATGGTGTCACACACACACCCCCAGTGGCCCTGCCCCTCAAGCCCCACCCCTCACAGCTCCCTGAAGCTCCTCTCCTCTCCTACTGGCTAAGGCAGAGACCCTTCTCTCGGCCCAATGATGGAAGCCATGGCTTGGCCGCCCACACCCTGACCGGTGGATGATGGGGGGGGGGGTGGTGATGAGTTACCATACTGGGTGACGGGTGACACCAAGCCTAGCAACACCACTGCCTTGGCAGCCCCCCTCCTGATGGTGTCCCACCAGCTGCTGCCATCGGGCAGCCTGGGATCATTTTAGTGTCACCCCCTCTGACAGTGTCAAGGGATGTGGTCCACACCCCCCATCCCTCTAGTGACGTCACTGCCCCCATCACCCGCACGCTCCAAGAAGGCTGGCAGTCAAGTTGATCATGAAAGAGAGAAGCAACAAATAAACAATATTAGGAACGAAAAGGAGGTCATAACCAGACACAGCAGAGGTTTTCAAAAAATACTATGAACTTTGCCAAATAGGTAATTTTGTAGATAAAATATAATCTAACTATATTTTACTATCATATTAACAAATAAAAAGATCTGAAGACCTCTAAGAAACTGAATCACTGGTTAAAAAATCTACTACCCCCTCCCAAGGAAGAAAGAAGGATGGAAAGACAGAAAGAGAGAGACACAACAAGAGTCAGACAAGATTGCTCTGGTGAGTTTCTAAGTAAGTTCTATCAAGCATTTAAGGAAAACAAAAACCTTAAGTGATACAAATTACTTCACAGAATAGCAAAAGAAATGCTCCCTAATTCATTTTAAGATGCTAGAAGAAACCCGATACCAAAACCACATAAGGACAGTATGAGAAGAAAATAGTAGTTCAATCTCATTTATGAGCTGTCTTAGTCATCTAGTGCTGCTACAACAGAAATACCACAAGCGGATGGGTTTAATGAAGAGTTTATTTCCTCATAGTCAAAGTAGGCTAAAAGTCCAAATTCAGGGCGTCAGCTCCAGGGGAAGGCTTTTTCTGTCAGCCTTC